CTCACGGCGCTTCGCGCTTGGTGATGTGAGAGCCTGGTCCGGTGAGAACCCGGCGTGCTCCGTCCCGGCTTTGTAGGGATGCGAGGTCAATGGTCTGACGACTACGGCAAGCATGACCGACTACGGCAAGCATGACCGTGAGTACCCCCCCCGCTGCCCTTTGCCCTTCGCTTCCTTCATGTCTCATGTCCGCTCAATTTTGAAGAAAGCACCTTGTACGTGATTTCGAAGCGTGCGTTCCGGCAACAACCAATCTCATGTGGGAGCTGCGCGCTGACCCTTCAGAGCGGTTGCACGCGCTATCTACACCACGCTATCACGCTGGAGTCGCATCCGGCGTGTTCTTGGACTCTTGGAGCCCTCCTCGCCTACGTAGGCCGCGTCACAGTGAGCAGCATCGGTGCGCGGGTAGACAGCGTGGGTAGTTAACTAACATCGACTTGTCGGCCAAACGTAATTCACCACCACCTCCTGGCTTTCATCGCTAGAGTGGTGGCAGAAAGTACTGAAGGGGGCATGTTGCTCGAGAGTGAGGCACTACTTACCGAGTATTTTTCATGTATTTGGACTGTAGCCGTTTCTTTGCCATATTTCCACAATTTGAGGGTGCAGCTACTTATGGATGAGCCACCTTCAACCGAACAGGTTCTGCCTCTCAAATCGTTACAACTCAGCGCGGCTTTGCTGCAGGATTGCCCTGCTGGCAGGAGTACTACGGAAGCTCGATTTTTCCAACATTTCTTCGTGGGGTTAGGTTTATGCCCACACTCCGCAGGATCGCGGAACGTCTGTGGCGGAAGAATGGATCCTATCGCGACAGATAACCCCACTTGCGCTGGAGACGGAGTAGAGACGGAGAAATAGGTCATAGATGCGCAGCATGATCCCAAACCCCTTCGGCTGCGGCTGATTAGAATCAGCCTGTGTCCTTGACCTATGTTCCTCCCCGTCTACCGTGACCGGTCAAACGGTTGTTGAGGTTGTTGTGCGCAAGCTTCCCCAAATGAAGCTCTCTGCACTTGATCGTCGTAAGGTGTCCTTCTTTCACAGGCTTGGTGAAATGAGTAGGGTAACACAATGTACTCCAGGCCCTACAGATGACCCCAGACCCCGGCCCAACCGGAGCAGTATCCTACTGCGACGAAATACCGGACTGCCTTGCTGGGCGTGGGTTTCACGGACGCATCGTCCTTCTAGAGGTAGTTCAACCCGCATGCTTGTTTGCTTGGAAATACGAGAGGGATCCACGTACCTGCCGCAGGCATCATGCACAGCAATACACGCTGGTGCCAGAGAAGAGCAAGCTGAAACTTGTCGCAACTCACAGATTAAAGGAGTATCTTTTCGCACCTCGGACCGTGGACGGGCTGTTGGGAACGCTCCCGAAGTCCTTTCGCTCGCCGTGGCCCTCGTAGCGATGGTTGTCGTTGCGTTCACCCCCGGCGGGACTAACGTCCCCATCTTCATTATTGCGAAATCAGGGAATTACGCGTGATAGAGGCCGGACGGGAAAGGGTGACATGCCTATGTGCAGCGGTCATGTCCTTGATGAGGGAGCAGTACAAGCATCCGTCATTCAAGACCCTGCTTTGAAAACCTGTTTTTGCTGTAAAACGGTTTCCGTGTAGGCTTCGAGTCTTCTTGTTCGCGGAAGGCTTCGAACACGGCAGGCAGCTGGAGGTAAATTTCAGGCTTCGGATGCCAGCGGAACTATTTTTCGAGACGTTTGCTGAAGATTCCATGATGAGCCATGTGCACACTCAATACAAAATGTAGTCGAGGGTACAGGATTGGTTAACGCCCGTCAGGTCCGGGAATCTGTGCGATACCCTCTAGAAAAAAAGGAAGGCAGGCGAATTGTACTCTCGCAGTCGTCTACACGCTTCCAGCACCGTACAAAAAAATGCAATACTACCGTCGTCGTTACCGTACAGTGGCTCTTTCTCTCACTCGATCCTTTCGTGTAATGCGCCGCATTCACGCTCCGCTGCCTGCGCCGAGCGCCGTTGGAAGATGAAGGGGAAGCGCCCGGAAGACTCTCACTCGACAAACGGGGTCTACCCTCGCTACCCTCTCCTCTGCCTCGCGGTGGTGAGGTGGACCTGCAGACATGGTTGGGACAAAAAAGAACGGAACATCATCGGAGTGATGACGTTATTGCTGTGAATGCTTGGGTATGGTATGGTATTGATCCAGCTGCATTACCCGGAGGCTTGTGGAATCTACCTCCCGAGACGTTGGTGGGGGCACGTTGGCACAGGCAATACTGGAGGTTGTAGTGCAGAAATGGAATCACGCTCTTGCCAGATGTCGACATCTGCGTCTGGAAACCTCTCAATCGCTGTATGCCGTGATTGTTGAAGGGTCAATTTGTCATTGCACCGTTTTGAATGTGCTGAGGATGATTCAGTTGGAGCTACTGCATCCTCGCCCTTTCGGTTGTACCGTTTCGACTTTTCCAGTATCTACGCCGCATTGGTTATCGATCGGCCGCTCTAGCATTCGCTTTGATGTCTGCAAAAAATGTCGCAATTCATCGTCTGTAAGAGAGACAATGTAGAGAGAGGCGGGTGTAAGCATGTCAAGGGCTCCCTTGATTTCCCTGGCAAGTAACCATGGCGTTTCTTAGATCTCGCAGTCTGCAGAGGGCTCTGCTGGGCTCACAGTTAGAGCCACGCATGCGACAAGAGGGCAACACCAAGGCCCTTTGCAGACGAACGATGTACCGCACGTGGAAGAAACGCCACCAATCGACATCCTGAAGCTCAAACTGAACGATGCTGCGTGTATTCTTCTCATGGACAAAAAGCCGAGCACACCACACAAGCTGATAGACTCACTTTGTCCCCGGAAGACGAGTGCACCCGACCTCGCTTTTCGCTTCCGCCGCCCTCGAAAGGCGTTGCGGCTCACGTTCTAACCCGCCACCGCCACATTCAGCTGCAAGCTCCCCGCTGCGCTTGTTGCTATCCGCTGCGCATAGGGCAGGATCTCTATACCGCGGTGACGTGGAGCCCTCCTTCGCATCGAGGAGGGGAGAAAACTTGCTGCCGTTGCCGGCCGGGCCGCCGCGACCCTGAGGCCAAGCGAACTCGACGCTATCGCTAACAGGGTCAAGGTTGGTGCACGACGCTCTCTTGGGAGTCGGGGGAAGGCTTCGGACCCGACGGGCGGAGTGCGCGCCACTTCTCGGAGAGAGTGACAAACCGGGGAGGGGAGATTCGTCCTGGGAAAACACCGAACGAAGCGGCAGCAGGAGACGGACCGCGGGCGAAACCAAACTATTGGCAAAGCGTCAGCTGCATGATATTGTAGTCATCATTTCTCAACAGTATACTACGTATCCTAATCTTCGCGCCGGTGGTATCTTATGAAAGCTGGCGTGAACGTAAGTTCAACATTCGTTGTTTGTGATTCTCCTCTGTCTGCTTGACGGGTGTAATTGAGAATATGAATTGCGCGTCGCTGCGTGAGGTCGCCAACGATTCTCACGTTTGAAGGGGATGGCGCTGACTTCATGGGTGGGAGTCTTGGCGACGCAGGGCTGCTTGTGCCTGAGGCTGGTAGAGACAAGCTCGTCACCTTCTGCGTGATATGAATGGAGGCCACCAGACAGCAGCATGTGCCCCGCCGTGAAGCGGGGCGGGTGGGACACGATTGCGCGAGAGACGGAACGTGTCGATCGACGAAACACGCACCGCAAGCAAAAAAAAAATTGGGTTATGTGTCCTTGTTCAAAGCCTCCGGTTTCTTGGCGAGCTTCCCATGGGCAGCTTGTATTCATCATCCGCCAAACTGTGAAAACTTCACCAGCAACTTTCAGTCCCTGGGCGAATCAAGAAAACATTGTTTGCTATTTACAATAGTAGGTTTAGCGTGCTGGATAGACAATGAATTAAAGCATGCTATGATGCCGATCACAATTACCGGATGATTGCTGCTGGGCCGTGTGGTCAAAGGTGCACCGAAACATTGGTTCGAATGCGAAGAATGGATTGTAGGTATTGACCCCAAAACGCTCACACGATAATCGGCGGCTGCACGCCACTTCCGATAATTCTTTGCAGCCGAACGGCATGAGTGTTTCTAGCCAAGTTGAACGATTGCATTAGCCCCTTCCTAAAGTCAAACGATTGGAAACTACGGATCGCATGGAACAAACTTTTTGTGTGTCCCGCAGAATACTTGCGTTCAGAAAATGCGCCATCACACTCCTCTGTCTCACCTCCGAGGACGCGTTTTGGTGCTCTTTGGGGCTGCTCGATCGCTGTCTCGACCTCGATGCGCGATGTGAGCGGGGATTTCTTTGTTCCATGTCCAGCGGCGCAAGTTTTCCTGAGTCTGCTGACGGGTTCGGAAGACTCGAGAACGCCTGCATCTGGTTCAAGCGTGAGAGGTCGTGATGCGCCGACTCCCGGTTGCAACGTTGGCGGTAATTTTTTCCATCAGGTTGTGGCTCCTGCACCCAAGCACCCTCGTTCACAACACACATGGTGGGCTACCGTACATATGTAGGGTGTCTTTGGACGACTGCTCTGTTCTTCTGCAAGATGCCGTACCGAAATTCAATGTCAGCGTGGCCCTCCACCTGGGGTGATACAGGTTTGTACCGCGTTCAAGGTTTCAAAGTATAATACGGCGAGTGACTGACTCAGTCCGAAAGCCGTTTGACATTCCGAAAAGCGATGACACCGTGTCCCCTCACCTCACTTGGTCGTGGACTTGCTTGTTTGGCAAGACTGCTCAGCAATTTCCCTCGGTTTTCTCCTTGCTGCTGACATTCTTTAGAGTCGGCACCCCACGGCACGCTCCCACCAAGGTCGCCCGTTGCGTCGTTTGGCCCGGCTCGCAAATAACCTCTCCCTAATTGTAATTTGTAGCTCTCTCCATCACCTGCTTGCTCCTGTGCGTTCGTGTGCGTTTCGAGGGGAGGCAGCGATAGAGCCAATATATATATATAGGTCGAAGTACACAGAATGCCGCTTGTTCTCTATTTCGAGAATATTACTTGTATGGCGCTCGGAATGCGGCTATTGTACTACACGTCATACGCATTCGTACGGCGGTAGTGCGGTTGTTCCGCCGCACATGAGCGTGGTCGGTGGTTGTCGTAGTTGGTGGCGGTTGATCGAAGAAATATCCACGTCATCATCCTGACGGGAACGTGCTGACCTACCTCAGAGAGATGTCCATCAAGACTAGTCTACTGTTGCTCACTTGCGACTTGCCGATGCTCTTGGCTTCTGCCAACATGTTTGGCATGCTGTCAGCCCACCACTCTATTCGAGATGACTGTGTGTGAGAGGTTGAAAGTGTAATCCTGTCCGACGCCTATGGAGATCACCCACAGCAGCGAGTACGAAGGGGTGCCGGGGAGCTTGCGCGTCTTGTAGATAACCCCACGAAGGTTAAAGGTATGCGCCCACCCGCAAAGTTGATGCTTGGCATTTGCTTGACGCGTGGTTCCAACGGTGGGACGGTGGGTCGGCCGGTGCGGCATAATTTTTTTTGAAACGTTTCTCCTGGGTTCGTACGATATCTTTCAAGATTTTTCAACCAGCACTATGCTCTGGTAGCGTACTTGCGTCTACAGTACGTTGGCTCTACAGTCTCTGGGGTTCAATTCTCAGCCCTTGCCGCCATACGACCAGATACAGCGTTTTCCTCTCGCCAGCGCTGCTCTGCAGCTCTGCTGGGTTCACCCGTTATGGAGGAGGTTGGTGCGGCGGAACTCAACTGGACAGCGAAGGCGGCAGGTGGTCGAGGAGGGTACATATAACATTTCGCGGAGCCCCATTCACTACCCTATATGACACAAGATAAAACACCTCCGTGACCAATTTTTGAAGCTCGATTTCTCAATTGCAGGAACACTCACAGCGCCGAAAACGGTGGCGTTGAAATTTTCTCGTTTAGTGATTTTTGAAAATGTATCCTTTCTTTAATGCATCCTCTTCGTCGTGGAGCAATCGAGCTTTGAAAATCTGTCCAGGGGGTGTGTTATCTTAAGTCATATACGGTATGTAATCTCTCCGCGTTTCTGCGCGCACTCTCCCGCTCGTGCTCCTTCCTTCTCTCTTGGCGGAGTTGGAAAGCGCTGTTGCATCTCTCTCTCTCTCTCTCTCTCTCTCTCTCTCTCTCTCNCTCTCTCTCTCTCTCTCTCTCTCGTGTTGTACTGGCGAAAAGATCGACAACAGCGACATCATGCTGAGGACTGCTGCAGTTGCTGCTGCTCGCGGAGCCAAAACATCTCGCAGGTGATGCCAACTTTGCAATTTTCTCAAGACAGCATTTCTGTTTTTTTTTTTTGTTGATGTTGAAAGTTCGTTCGGAAAGTTGCTGTAGCCTGCTGCTTGACGGGAAGGCTTTCTAGTGGCTAGCAGCAGCTCGATCCGATGTTCCGAGTGCGTTAAAAGTTAGGACTGCCGTGGTCGATGTACCCTCCCACGTGCTGTTTTGCCACAGATATTCTCGAAAGTTCTCGCGAGTATGTAACACCAACCATCATCGCCATCTTACCGCGTGCACAAACCGGCCAGCTTGTGTAGACTACATGTATCGACTGCCTACCGTATATCATGTGTACCTGCGTCGACCGTGTGGGTTCCGGTCTACCAACAAATCTGCATGCTCCCGCTCTGGTTTTACCATGATGTGGGTGCCCTAGGCCTCGGTAATGCGGCGTAACACAGCCCCTACGTCATCTTTGCCACGCAGTTCGAGTACGGACGGTATTATTGCTCAAGATACAATGTAGTCTACAGAGATCCTCGGAGTAGCCTGTTGAGCTCAAAGTTACGAGTTTTTGTTGCAGAGTTTCGGATTTACGCCCCGAAAAGTTCCCTTTCACACCTGTATGGCCACCATAAAAATGAACTTCCGACCTCAGGAAGTTTTTTTTTCACGCGGGCAGCTTTTTGTTGCTTTGGTCAACACCACGCGAGGATGGGTGCTGACGCGCATCTCACCCCACTAACACATGCGCGCGCTCGGTCAGAGAGTGTCCTGCCAGCAGTGAGAGGACTCCTGCTTCGGTGCCGACAAAGTTGAGATGGGTCAAATTGATGTAGGGCCAGCTCTACTTTTATTTACACACACACACCAGCACACAGCAGCAGCAGCAGTGCAACTACACTTCGCATCGATCGCCCAACACCCAACCAACACGATGTGGTGCAGCATGATCCAACAATAGATCGTAGGGCATCTTGCTGCCTTATGCGTTGTTGGCTCTGGCTCGAAGATTGGTGGGGTATGTCGAGCGTTACGAGAGAGCGACGCGCGTTTGGAAATGTGCTGCGTTGCGCACCCTGTCTGGGTGCGTGCATCTGCATTCCATCTCAAAAACAGTTTCAGTCGGTGGTTTCATCGCCGCGGTGACGCAGCTACGTTACGCTGGCTCTTGCACTGGCGGTGCCGCTCGCTAGCTTCTGAGACGGTACAACGGCTGAAGTAGTAGCTACTGCGGGGAAGGTTGCTGCAGCTCTCCGCTTTCCGCACCTCTCGAGTTGTGCATCTGGACGTTGGAGGTAGCGTTACGTACTGTTGTGTCATTGGTGTCATTCCCCACTCATCATGAAGCTTTTTTACGGAAAACTGCGCGGTTTGTTGCTACTGTCGGACGCAGCGTGGGTTGCCTCGTTGCGGAAGGGAGAGGCTTCTTGACGTGGAACAGCCTACCGGAGGAGCACACGATGCTTCGGGATATGTGCCGCAGCTTTGCGGACAACGAGCTCGCTCCCAACGCCGGAGAGTGGGACAAGAACCATACCTTTCCTAAGGATCAGGTGCGACCGCTGTTTTTCTTCTCTTTCTTTGGACAGGAAGACGATGGCGATGTTGTTGCTGCCTGCCCATACCGCGAATCCCCCTCGCTGTTGGGCATTTGCTGTGCGTACCGTTCATCACACAGCAGTGCGGGTGCTCGGGAAGCTTGCGACATGTATGCGGATCAATTGTCCGTGTTCTTCAAACATCCCACCACGCGTTCGATGACAAGAAACAATGATGATTTTCCCCTCAAGCAGGTTGCGCAGCTAGGCGAACTTGGGTTGATGGGAGTGGCCATTGGCGAAGAGGACGGTGGCACTGGCCTGGACTACCTAGTGAGTTATGATGCCTGCCTAACGCTTCCGTTTGTCATAATTGAGGCAGTTTAGTGTAATTCCCCGATTGGGTTTTCCAACTTTGCCCAGAAATCTCGGGAGCAACACAGGGGGGGGGAGGGGGAGACAAGAAAATCACGCATGTGTGTAACAGGATATAGACCTATAGACAAACTTCCTGCGGGCTGAGAGCTCACGAGCTGTCAGCATGTGCAATCCTAGCTCGCTCGTGACTCTGGAGCCCTTTTTTCCGGTTTCTCCTTCCCCAGACATCGCCTCGCGGCGCGATATACCGATAGCCCTGATAGGCGGCGGCCCTCCCAATGTGCCGCGCGCTCCCGCGACAGACGTCGCGCAGCGGTAGCGAGGGCAGAAGGTCATGTCTCCGAGATCTACCACATCACTCGACCAATCACAGCCCGGTTTCTTGACAGTGCAGGCCATTCATGCATGCAGTCGGTTCGCTAGCGAGGGTAGAAAGTCATGTCTTCGAGATCTACCACATCACTTGTCCAATCACAGCTTGATTTCTTGACAGTGCAGGCCATTCATGCATGCCGTCGGCTAAGAGGCTGACGTAGTCCTTGTTCGTGCTCTTAATACATGTATTACACACGCGACACAAGCGACAACGAAGCAACCAAGTCTCGGCATGCCATCAAACAAAGCACCCTGCTGCTGTAGTGCGTCTCCCTTTCGATTCCGCGATGAAAAGCGGGGACGGTTGCGGCCGGTGTCATGCGCCCAGCACAGCAGCAGTCCGCAACCAATGTACACCTGTACATTGTCCAAAAAAAAGCGTTGCCCTCAGTAGGTTGTTGTTGATGGGATGCATTCCAACTCACAATGTATTTCGGGCTTTTTTTTCGGGAAGAAGGCGATAGAGCAACGGAGTGAGGCACGAGTACACGCATCATTTCATTTCGGAGTTACGTTGTTGTGAAGGATAGACTATGCCTCCGTAACTAGACGTATGTACACATGCACACATTGTGCGTGCTCCGGATATCTCAATGGTAAGGGTCGTGGTGCTTTGCCTGGAACATTGCTTTCCCCGATTGCCTCACCAGAGCTAGAACTGCAGGACACTGCTACGGTGGGCTAGCTACACAGTCAGTTGTGGGTTCCTGAGGCTCCACCTCAGCTTGTCGCTCTCGCTTGTTTGCCTCTGGGAACTTGGGCTTGCTGAGCTTGCGTATCGTGCTTCGCTAAGCTCATCTGTCAGTCGGTTTGTTGTTCGCGCTGGTTTGATTCCTTTTGTTCCAGGCGTACGCGATCGCGATGGAGGAAATCAGCAGAGGCTGCGCATCCACAGGGGTGATCATGAGTGTCAACAACGTGAGCGCAAGAGCACGTTCATGTTTAGGGTTGTCTTCCACTGCATTAGTGTCATGGCCAACCTGGCGGTAGCCGCGAACGAACCTAGGTGTAATAGCGTTTTCCTCTTTCGCGTTGCGCGGTGTGGCATAGGTATAGCACTACAGCACTTTACGTGGCAATTGGCGGCCTCAACTCATGAAAGTAAGCCGTAGTGTTGTAGAGATGGCGAGGCTCGACAAATCTTAACGTATTCTCATCCCTGCACATCCTTACGTACCCTGCCATTCCATTCCGGCACATTTTAAATGCAATCGGGCCAGTCTTTATACTGCGCCCCGATAGAAAAGTTCGGGAGCCCGGAGCAGAAAGACGAGCACCTCAAGCCCTTTGCATCTGGCGCGTCGTTGGGGTGCTTTGCCCTCTCGGAGCCTGGGAACGGGAGCGATGCAGGTAATGGTTTGATCCTGGTAGCTTTTGGTTACCTTATTTGACAGCATGTTCCTCTCGACTGATACCAAAGTGAGCCTCGAAGTTTGTAGTATTGGCGCTCGCTGTCACGCAGTCGAATGGATCAGGGTTTCGGGCATTAGTCTAGAGGAGAAGGGTTTTCGAACTCGCGGGCAGAGTCTCTCTTTGGGTGGGACATGGAAGTGGACTATGTTGTAATGGTGTTTGTGATATCACGCATTCGGATGGAAGAGGTTGTTCGAGGTTCGAGGAGAAGTGTTTTCGACGTCGCCAGCGGCGCTTCTAGCACGAGTTGGTCAACTTGGGACAGAGTGGTCGATCGATGCCATGTATCCCCAGACCGGGGGGACTCACCGGGCTCTACTCAGCTCACGGGCGGTTGCCGTTTGCGAAGTAGAGGAAGAGCTAAAGATAGCGCTGATTGGGGCTTCGGGTGCCTTGTGCGTGGCGAATCGTTCCCGTAGGCATACATACGCAAGGCGGACCTCAGGGTTGATGTCACTGCCGTCAGACAGCATTCCCTTTGAGACATACGCTAACCTTAGTGCTTTGTCAGCAGCCATCGCTTATCGTGCCCTCTGCCTACTGGGTCGCGTGCACCGCGCCACCATCCCGTTGTCGTATGCGCTGCGTTTTGTTGATATTGCACGACCTGAGATCTGCAATCGATCGGTGTATCGATAAACCGTGTTCTATGAGATCTTTGACCTTTCCGAGTGTGGATAAGCCGTCTCTGAGGTCTGAAATTGATCCGGTTGTAGATGAATCCAGTTCTGAGAGATCTTTGATTGTTGGGTGTAGATATTCCGTGTTCTGAGATCCGAAATTGATCGGGGTGTGGCCTGGGTTTGTCGCGTGTTATCGTTCCAGGCGCGGCGCGAACGACGGCTCGACTCGAGGGCGACCAGTGGGTGCTCGACGGGACCAAGGCCTGGATCACCAACGCGCATGACGCTCAGTCATCCATCGTCTTCGCCACCACCGACAGCTCCAAAAAGCACAAGTGAGCGACTAAAGCATCAACCCCTCTCTCTTCGTTCGGTATCACTGCAAACATCGCTGTTAACATCATGGGAGCCTTACCCTGCATCGCGATTTTCATTAACGTGTGATTTACGAGTGCGTTTGTTAACGCTGTCGGTATCCGACATAACCGTTCACGAGCCAAAGGAGGCGAAAATGCTGTGGTGATTCTCTTTGTTTGGCCACGTTTCGCATGCCGAGTACAGAGGTCACAAGACCCTCCAGAGCGTTCCTGCCGTCTTCCTTTGTAGTTACCTGCGGCACCACCAACAGAGGAATATATAGCCCAGGGACCCGCGAAACGCCGCTTGGCGTAAGAGTCTGTGATGACAGCGAGCACTCCGTTGTCTTGGGCTTGACAGTGGCTCAAAGTAGCTGAAAGCTTTGTACAGTAGCTCAAAGCTTTTCAAGCTGTCAATGTTTGTTTATTTCCTGATACACATGCGTCTCCTGTGAGTTATTGTAATGTAGTGTGTGTACGGCGAGCAACACGAGCACAAACTACTTGTAGATGCGTGCGTGGTTTAAGTACGTGTTCCTAGGAGTAATGGGTTTGACGTCGCCACTACCCCCACCGATGGGGTGCATAAAGGCCCCTCCCGACTAGAACTTCCTCGACCCCTTCCTTGTTCAAGTGCGCTCGTCATGCTGTTCGACAACAAATTGCGGAAGAGGAGACTGAACTGACAGCCTTGACCATCCGCCTCCCTCTTTCTCTGAATGCAAGTACAAACCGGCCATGTCCCGCGATTTGACGTTGCCGAACTAATCATGGTGCCATCGTGCTGTTTTTGTTTTCCAATGTTGCCGTAGGGGGATCAGCGCCTTCATAATTCCGTTGGAAACCCCAGGCATGTCCTTGGGGAAGAAGGAGGACAAGTTGGGCATCAGGGCGTCCTCCACCGCTAACCTCATCATGGAGGGCTGTAGGATCCCCAAGGCTAACCTGCTCGGGGAAGAGGGCATGGGCTTCAAGATTGCCATGGGAACTCTAGACGCGGGAAGAATCGGGATCGCTGGACAGGTGAATCAAATCACTCCAGGCGTTCCCACGGTGTCTTGGGTACTTCTCTTGCTTCCTGCTGATTGACAGCTGACAAAGCCTGTCCAAACCGTGTTAGCGTCTGGTGCAGCATGATGAACAGTCGATTGTAGTAGCAGAACTCTGCCACGTTCAGCCGGTGGTGCTCCGTTTGGGTGGTGCGTTGTTTTTTGTTGTACGCTGTGCTGCAGCAGTGCTTGGCCCTTAGCGAAGAACGAGGCACATGACTCGTGCCTCTTCCGACTTGAGCTTAGATTCACTTGTTTAAAAGGGCTGCCTATTTCGTCGCTGAATTCTCCCGCCAGGCTCTGGGAATTGCCGCAGCGAGCTTGGACTGCGCCGTGAAGTACTCCATGGAGAGGAAGTCGTTCGGACAGCCCATCTGCGGCCTCTACGCGATACAGGTATGGATTCCACAGAATAGACGAGACAGAGTAAATGCGCCACACAATGCTCGTCTTCTGGGAGCATGGGTAGAAGCAGTGTATTTCCGATTCCTCACATTTGTTTCTGCTTCTTCTTTCGATGCAGAGGGTTGTGCTCCTCTTCAACCATAGGTGTCGTACAATGGTGCACCGAAGGTGTGTCTCTCTATCTGGAGCTTGCACTCGAACAAACCCGTCAAGCATGTGGCCGAAAATACGAACAAACAGCACCACGACTTCGTTGTGTACCTCCAACCCTACCTCCCCTCCACATGAATGGCCCCTTCTTCATTATTGGCCAGAGCAAGATTTCCGAGATGAGCATGAAGCTTGACGCTGCCCGGCTACTAACCTGGAAAGCTGCGGCGGCCCGCGATGCCGGAGAGAACTACACTAAGGAGGCGGCGATGGCCAAGCTCTTCGCGTCCGAGACAGCGACCTTCTGCTCGCATGCGGTGAGTTAAAGGGGAGGAATAAGAGCAGTAGGTTTTTCGGTCTGGTAGTGACTCTTCCCATCGACGGGTTCTTACGCTTTCTGATTGGTCGAGCGTTGGTTCAGGTCTGTTGGTGACTTTTCCCATCTACGGGCTTTTACGCCCTATGACTGATCGAGCGTTGGTTCAGGTCTGCTAAATAGTGACTATTCCCATTCATGGGCTACTGTGCCCTCTGGTTGGTCGAGCGTTGGTTCACGTCTGCTATGGCTTGTTCCCATCTTCAGGCCATTTCGCCCTCTGGTTGATCGAGCGTTGGTTCAGGCCTGCTAGTGATTGCTCCCGTCTACAGGCTATTTCGCCCTCTGGTTGGTCGAGCGTTGGTTCGAGTGATCGGCTCACCAACAGACCGTAAATAGACCTCTTAGAGCGAGACCAAGAGACCGACTATTTTTCGGAGATTCGAAGTTCGAGCTGGAAGATATGACCCTTTGAGTCGTGCGGTCATTTGCTCACCTTCACAATGCCTGCCACGGGTAGGTCATTCTCCGGTTTTTGCTACAGTACGGTTGTGCATGTTGTCTAGCACTTGCGCCAATTTGTTGCCCGTGCTTACGGGGTTACCGCTTGGTGAATGCACCCGGTGATGTTGACATCCGCACACCGCTGTGTTTTTTTCGGAGTCTCGGTGTTGCGCTACCGTCATGACGGTATGTTCTTAGCGCTTGCAGACAAGTCCCAGGACTCTCAGTGTTGGTGTTGATCCCAGGATTTTCAGTATCGGTGTTGATCCCAGGACTCTCAATACTGGTGTTGATCATGCGATACGGCAGCAAGATTGTACAATGTCGTGCACGTGCATGCTCGTTCACGGCAGCAGTGGCAGGTTCCCCCTGAAGTTGACATTGCATGGTGCATCCTGACAGTCTCGATCAGATTGACCTCGCACTTGTGACTGACATGTATGCTTTTCTGTTTGCCAACCCTTCTGCGCTGCGGGAAAATTTCACCAACCGTCGCAAACTCCACACGGACCAACGCAGGCTATTCAGGTCCTGGGAGGAATGGGTGAGTGCGGCAACCACTCATTTTCGTCAAGAGATAGAGCAGGCGATTCGGTAGGCTGGGGGGGGTGTACTCACGGTCATGCTTGCCGTAGCCGTTAGACCATTGACCTCGCATCCCTACAATGCCGGGACGGAGCACGCCGGGTTCTCACCGGACCAGGCTCTCACATCACCAAGCGCGAAGCGCCGTGAGATATTCGGCGAGTCGCATGAAGGGTGCGCTGCATCCTGCTAAGGGTTTTCGGCATCTTGTGCTTACTTCCTTGCGTACGGATGACAGCTGCGTATGACTTAATATTTTTTCTGGTGCTTTCACTTCCTGAGGCAGTTGTAAGCATTGTGTAACTGCCTCGAGGGTGCTTGAACATTTTAACAAAACGTGGTGCGATCATCCCCCTTGCGCGGAGTTTGGGTTCTCGACCCCACACAACATGATCTACTCGACCACCATTATGGTTACCGCCAACAAAAAAACATAGGTAAAAAATAAAACGGAAACCTGGTTGCCGAACTCATGAAGGCCTTGTTTTACAACGTCGTTGCCAAGCGACGAAAACCCAATCCCGAAGGC